AAAAGGGGCAAAATGCATGCAGTTTGATTTCTGCAGAGAAGTTATAACACTGAAAGACCAACACAACAGAAAGAAAAAGAAAAATGAAAAGGAAGTGGTATTATCAGACAATGAAGAAAGCAGCACAAAATATATATTTTTTTGTCCTAATTTAATAATTTAAAAACAAATCTTGCATTCCTAACTAAAAGTTGAAGAACCGAACCAGAACCAAACAAAAAACAAAGCAGGAAAAAATAGATTTCTAAGGAGGTTCAAACTAGAAACAGTGATTAAGGGGAAATTCGGTTCAAAATGGACACTTAGCTTTGAAAGGAATTCAAACTGCCAGCTGGGAGAATCCTCGTTAATGCTAGCAGAGATAGCTTCCAGCTGGGACCAAATATCTGAAACCAATCCTTGGTTTAGGCGTCCCTTCCTGTCTCACCGTTTCTCTAAGCAGAGCTCACCAAGAAAAAACAAAACCCAAATTCCGGGCAGCCCTACCTATTACTTTGCTCATCCTACCCCTCCCTCTCTCCTCCAATTTTTCCTTCCAAGAGTCCTCCTCTCTCTTCTCTCTAGCATCGCATGACCCTTCTCTCTTCTCTCTGCCATCAGATGACTCCTCATCTCTCTCTTCTCTCTCGCATCACACGACACCTCCCCTATCTTCTCACTGGCATCATTGCAGGCTAGGCCTGCCCGTGTCAGCCATCCATCCTAAAAACCTACCCACAAACCCAATCACAACCCAAACTCGCACAAGCCTATACAACTAAACTTGAAGAAAAAAAAAACTAGGCGAAATCCTTAGAGCAATGGCATGTCTGTAAATAGAGTGAAATTGGGGTTAAAAAACTATTCATTTGTACAGTGCAATTTCAAAGCCTTCTTTATACTAAAGTAATATTTAATTTTTCATTATTAAATTTTCTTAATTAATATTGAAAATTTAATATTTTGTCCTTCATCAAAGTATTCAAATTAATAAGGTTTCAGTTTAAGATTTTGGTCTACCAGGGACCGAATTCAAAGTTTCCTTTAATTAAACCTAAGGGATCAAATCAGTGTGGTTCAGACCGTCTTCCCTTAGAGTGCATGTAACTTCTTCACCTTTAGTAGAAAACCTTCTTCTCATGATGCAATTTTTTTTCACTTGTCCAAAAACATTTTGAATCATGAGACATATCTTATAGGCGTTAAGACATGATATCCAAATCCTTCTCCCCTTGCCTTTCTTGCTTATTTCACTCCCTTTTTATCGCCTTTGATTCATTTCTAGCCTTGCCTTACTCATAAGATAACTCATCTTGCTCCATATTTAGTACATGTTGGTGAGCTCATTCGTCGACTATTTTTTAATAATCATTATCCGAAGAACTCCCTCTTACAACTTTTTTTCTTAGCAGCCTTCTTACTAAAAGGCCTTAAGGTTTCTTGAGATTGTGCGATCGATTCAATTGGAGTCTCCAATGACGTCTCTAATGGCTACTCTTCAGTAGTTGAGTCGCTCAGATGAGTCTCATTCAACACTACTTGTAGACCATTTGCAAAACTTTGTAAGTTAGTGTGTGTTTCACAATGTTATAAGATGTTGGAACCAAATTCGCGGACCGCCTTGAGTGGTGAAGATTCTCAAATCCGTTTACTTATAAAAGAACACAAAATCGTGAGTAAGCTTAGAACCCGAGGGAGAAGGGGCTTGTCGGTCAAGCTCTCCAATGGTCAATTAGTAAGCAATATTAAGACTCAAATAGTAGGCAAGAAAATAAGTGTAGAGATTGCGTTACTAGAGATGAATGCTAAAAAAACATGTTTATACCTATTTGAGGTAGGCGTACTTTGATCTGTCTTACTTCAGCCTTGGAAAATCAAGGTCTCATAATTGCCCCTAACTAGGCATCATAAAGGACTTGTTCCCCTTAAAGATGGATAATTACCCATAGATCATGCTCTTCGGAGTAACTCAGAATACGTACTGTTTTCTTCCTTTTAGACACGTGGCATTTTAGCTTTGTTTTTTGTGAACTTTTGATGTTCTAGATTCAGCTGTGTGACATCGAATATTGAGAAGAATACATCAATGATGAAAGAAGGCATATTACTTGTGCACATTAAATAAAGAGTAGCTCTCCATATCACCAAGCAATCTTCGTTCTTCAAACACACAAATCTCTAGGAAAAACTTTTTAGATTCAACGGTAAGATTTTTCTGGTATTTTGCCTTTAAATAACTCCATTGCAACAATGGTTTTCAAACCTCATTTTATCCTTTATACCATGAAACCTCCTTACTTGCATCATGCGTTACCTTCTAAACCCAGTTCTCTCCTTAAGCCTTGAGATGGTTCTTCTTCATTAGAGCTATCTTCGCCTCTTTTCACAGGAGTTTTCTGACCCTGACTGAACCTCAACAGAGTTGATGATCCTCGTAAAACATGCTCCATATTTTTCATAGGAAAGTTTGTATGCTAGTGATGAAGGTTTGTCTTCCCTAAATAATTCTACCTTTTCTGCCTTGTTCATGAGACTTTGATAAACATGCACTTTATATGTTATACACATTTTCCATTTCATTCAAGTCATTTATCCTGTTTGAATAAAATGTTGGAAAGTTTTTTTTTTTTTGTCCCTTGCTCCAAATCATGCAAAAACCTGGTAATTCGACAAATGTCTTCAAAATAATCCAACTTCAAAACAGTAAGTAATTGAATAGAACTCGAGCAAGCTTGTGGGCCCGAGATAGAGCTCAATATCCCCTAGCTCACATTGATTCGGAAAAACATAATCTCCTAAACTTGGCATTGATAGATAAGGATTCCCACTGCGACTATCGGAGCACCACTTTACTTTGACACTTAGTCTAATGCCTATGAAAAATCCTTTACTCTATATACTTATAATATATTTACTCAGAATGACCACCAGAGTTCAACTTTGAATAAGCGGTCCTTTGATATGTCGTTCTTGTTCGTTCACCTTGCCCCATTATGGGTCAAAGGATTTTAAATGTTGCAATGTGTGTAACTGAGAAGGGGTTGCCTTCCCAGTCCAAATTGTTGATCTATCCCTAGTGAATCTTAAACGAAAGTTCATTACAAACTTGGTTGTCTGCATGTGGGTCGAAAACATTTTTTGGATTTTTGAATGTTATATAACCCACAACCTACAAGTTGCATAAACTTTCCGAAACCTGGATAGTGCACTGGACTTTTGAGTTAGGATGCCATGTCCCCGAGCTCGTAGCCCGCCAATTGTTACCGCGCTTATTACAGTTTGAGTCTCCTAAGCTGCTAACTGAACACTACGGAGTGGGCTAAAGGAAACTTTTTAACACTACCACTTTAAGTTGTTGGACTTGCAATGCGAAGTTTCAAAGTTCTGTGTGATTTGGGCTTTTAGGGTATTCTCACTACCACAAAAAATAAGAAACAATGAACAAGTACGTAGAATAACTCTAAGAATTCTTTTATTGAAAGGATTTATGTTCCATAGGCCATGATGGTGACTTGAACATGAATGACCACTTTTGTTCCATATGACATGGAGACCCTAGTCATCTTTCGAGTAGTGGTTTGATATACCCACAAAACTCCAGGCAATTCTCCTGACCATTCTTTTCTTTTCTAAGTATTTCTTCAAGCACTAAGAATGGTTTTGTTTAAAGCTTCTACTTGTCTATTACCTTACGGGCATATAAGAGACTCTTCCTTTTACCATTCATATTTCACTTGATGCTACAACATAAGAAGAGGGGTAATGAACTACTCATGGTGCAATACACAGTGTATTTTTAATGATGGGAAAGAGCTTCAGGTCTCAGTTCTTAGAAAAAAGTTCTTTTTTGAGAGTTCCACCATGATATACATAGTTTATGACTCTGCCATAGGCAAAAAAAAAATGGGTTGAAGGAGATCATGTTACGTATTCGAATGTTAGGAGGGTCTGATAGGGTCTTCGTACCTATTATGAATAGAGAAAACTTTCCCCATTGCACTCACTACGCGAAGTGGAGGTGAGATAGCGGATGCCTAGCTGTTTGTACCAGTCTGTAACTTCGGAGCTGGTGAATAGCAATCCATTGTCTGTGAGCATGGTCTGAGGGATGCCAAATCGACATATGATGTTCTTCAATGTTAAGACTCAAGCAATAAGCAAGAGAATAAATGTGCAGAGATTGCGCTACCAAAGATGAACCCTAGAAGAACGTATTTATACCAGTCAAAGATATGACCTTTTGGGATAGTAGAATCCATATTAAACCGGAAGAATCCATGAGGATATCTAGAAAGTAGATATTGTATCCTCTTAAGAGTAAGATTACTTGCTGCGCACGCCAATCCTTCAATTGTAAGGACTCCAAGATTATAGAAAACTTGTTGATTCCTTGCTCAATTAGGTTCAGAAATGTACGGAACAAGAATGGTCTATCTCAACAAAGTCGACGAACTTCACTCACTGCTTCTGAAACAGGATAATGGTTGCATCTCTGATTCGTTTAGTCAGCTCTGTTTAGAGGCTATTGCGTCCATGACTGGACTTTTGAGGTCAGCATACTCCAACCTTGGAAAATCATGGTCCCACATAACATTTGTGGCTTGTGAATGACTTTTTGTGCAGATTGAACCACATTTGTGCTTGTAGTTGCTAAAAAAAGAATTGTGAAACAACATAATAACTTACATAATCAAATTATTACTTTTCAAATAACCTAAATGACATTTTAACATGACTCAACAATAAAATTTTATTACCTCATTGGCTAGATTATCGCCATTTTAATAAATTTCTTCCGCTTTATGTAGATGTTTGTACTTGCTTGAGGTAGATTGCTTAGTCCATGATGTGCTTTGAATCTGCTCAACAAATTGTGCAAGAATCTTCTTCTACATGTGTTGCACTCTCATCATTTTCCCATGACTGGGGTCATGAGTAATAAGCATCCAAGGCTCAAGCAAAGCAATGTTTTCCCCAATTGACCAATTTGCCTTGTCACTCATTTTTTTTGTGCTAACAAAAGGATTTGGAGAGTAAGATCCAATCAAGGGACAGTTAAACGACAGATAAAATGGGAACACAAGATCCAAGCTCGGTTAACTCCCGCTCAAGTTACAAGACGTCGTCATTCTCTCACAATTTCAAAACTCAAACCCTCCTCGCCTCCGTCGTCTCACTCCTCCTTTCTCTATCTCTCTGGAATCGATCGACCTATTGGAAGAGGATCGACAGATCTGAAATGGTGTCTAGGTAGGTAGCTTTTTGGGCACTTTTTTGTCCTTTCCATATTTTTCTAAATTTCTTTCCCATTTCTGAAATCAATTCTTGCTATTTCTTCTGGGTGTAGTATTACAAGTGGAATAAATTGTTAATTTTGACCGCATCGACAAGGGTTTAGGGCTTCTGAGAGGCAGGGTTTAAGGATTCTGTAATTGTTAATTAAGAATTCTGTATCATTTAGCTGCTTCGATTATTTGTAGTTAATTTTGTGGCAGAGTGTTATCATCTGTTTCGATTATTGCCGGTGCAACAACATGCCTCTTAATTAATTAAATTACACAAAACAAACCCTAAACCCTGTATTTTGTCTCCTTATCTCTTCTAGGGATTTCCCTCCTGAAAATTGAAATGTGAGGGAGAAAAATGAACGACGCTCGGAGCTCTGATCCATTGGATCCGCTGCAGGGTTTCACAGGCCTCTCCCTCTTCCACCAGAGCTTCAAGGCCATCCCAGACAGTTCAACTTCCATTCCCTTCGATTTTGACCCCAACCTGCAAGCCATCCATTCCCAATTCAACTCCACGGTACTTGGTCACACTACTCTACTCCCCAAAATTTATATTTGAGATCAATATTTAGTTTGGGTGAAAAGTTTTCAGTTTAATCATATTTCTGCTTACTGTGAGTTTGTTCTGGGGAAATATTGTTTTTTCTTTCATTTTTTGAAATTTTTGTTTTGATATTTTTTTTTTTTAGTTTATGACCTAGAAATTATGGGATTAATAATTTCCTTTTTGTTTGGAATCTTGTAATTTTGTTTTTATTGTCTAGAGAAAACGAATGGAAATGGTATAAATATGAACTTTTGGTACTTTGTAAAAATTTTGAAACTTGGAATTGGGAAAACTATAAATTTTACCAGAGTTTGATTTTCCTATTCAGAATTTTGGGGATATTAACTTTGGAAAGCTCATCATACTATTTATTTTATTTTATGCTTACATTTGTTAAAATGCAACAAGACTGAGAACCAATTAATTACTGACTTTATATTTTAGTATAAGGCAATACCGATTCTATAGGTGGGTTCAGGTTTCGTCTCAAATAAAGTCATTCTGTATCTGATCTCTTGTGCAGTGGAATTCTATCAGTGGGTGGAATGCATTCATAGTTTTTTTTTTCTAGTGTTTTTTCAGGCCTCACAAGTTAAACTTGTAGATCAGGTGAAAAACATTTTAAGTGATACTTCGAAAATTCTGAAGTCTGGTATTCCACAAGCTAAACAGAATAGTGAAGTTGTTCCTGAAAAGGCTGAGGATAATCCCCTACAAAGAATACCAGCCTCCGGTCGTGAACTTGCTCGTTTTTCTGTGAAGCCTAATTCCAGGTAAAGTGTATGGTTGGTGCTTTTGATTTTCTCAAGAGTCACTTTTACAGCAATAGGTTGATATTTGGTTGTATTCATTTTGCAGTCAACCTAATATGTGTTCACTACCACCTTTTGACATCAGTTGGCATGAGAGTAAGTTGCACTCCCTTTGTGTTCCTGAATTTATGCTACAAACCCTTGTGTAACTGTAAATTTTAATGCTTTCTGATCCGTGCACAGATGCTAGAAAAGGAAAAGAGAATTTGAGGGGTGGTGCTGCGTTGGATGCAGATCAGCAAGCCATCCATATCCAACTCAATTCCATGGTACTTACTCACACAATCTCCATCTCATTTTGTCCCACTAACTTATTCTACTATATCAAATAAAAGTTTAAGTTTACTTTTATTTCTTCTGAGTCTCAGTTTATCTTGGGTAAATATTGTTTTTCTTAACATGCTACCTTTTCCAGTGTATTTATTCCTTAATATTATGACCTAGAAATTTTATGAGGGGATCAAATGTCGAGTTGATTGAGCTCAGTGGAGTTATTTTGATATGGGTGCTTGAGTGAAAACTGTAATCCGGATTGGTTGCTGGGAGAACGAATGACAAGTAGATAAAAGCATTTTAATATGAGCTTTTTGACACTTTGTTTGAATCTTGGAATTTGGGTAGTCTGAAAATTGGAGCGTGTTGAATTTTTTCCTTTCAAAGTTTTGGCAATTTTAATCTCGAGAAAGCCCAGAATGCTATTTATTTATGATTAGGTTTGCTATATTAAAAAAAAGCAGACTGAGGACCATTTGATTTTTCATTACGGAATTTATATCTTATCATCTCCCATACAGTGGGGAACTAACTCTAAGTATGTCCTCATTATAGGGTTAATTTTTGCCTTAAATAAAATTATAAAACCTTTTTATATTAAATCACTGTTATACATAATGCAATCACTTGTACACTGCAGTTCAATCACAGAAGCAATAAAAGTTAATTCTTATGGTGCTTTTTTCAGGCCTCACAACATAGTCCAAGTAAACTTAAAGATCAAGTGGAAAACATTGCAAGTGTTACTTCAGAAATTGTGGAGCCTGGTAATCGACAGGCATTGAAACAGAAAAATAAAGTTGTTCCTGAAAAGGCTGCTAAAAGTCCCCGACAAAGAAGACCAGCCTTGGGTCTTAAACGTACTCGGTTTTCTATGAAGCCTGATTCCAGGTAAAGCTTACAGTTGATGCTTCATTTTATTAAAGTATTCTTACTCTTTTAAAGATAGAGGTTGATGTTTGTTACATGCAGTCAACCTGATACGAATTTGCTACCACCTTTCGATCCCAAAAATTATAAAGACCCAGAGGAATTGTTCAAGGAACATGAAAAATATGAGAGTAAGTTGCTCCCCGCTTGTATTTCATAATCTTTGCAAATTCTAACTGTAAATTTTACTGCTTTCGGATTTGTACACAGATGCTAAAAAAGAATTAGAAAAGCTGAAGGGTGGTGCTATGTTTGATGCATACAAGCACAATCCATCCCCGATTAAACGAACCCGTCGACCATCGGTTATGAGGTAATAATAAATTTTATTTAATGGCCATAAAATATATATTTTCATGTATCTGTTCATTATGACTGCACTAGGATCTCGCACGCTTTTTTTGTTGTTGTTAACTCCGTCTGTGTAAGTTTATCTTACATTGCCGGTCCCAAGCCCGGGCAAAGGAGGAGGGGGAGGGCGTCAGGTAGTCGACAGCCGGCACTTCATAGTTACGTCGAATCCTTATGAAAATGAATCCAGAACGAAATCGCGCTAAAGCTAGGGCGTCACCCGTAAGTGGCGCGCTGTGTGGCCCGAGCACAATGATAAGTGAGTAAGGGTCGTTGTATCTCCATCGGCACCCGGATGCAGTGTTAAATGAGCAAGGGGGCCATAGAAACTTCTTTTCGAACGACTCCACTCAAAGTTGTTTGGGAGCATATGCTCTTATCAACTTTACACAGGACATACAAAAGAAGTACTTTGATTCTATTGGACGGGAGAGGGTGAAGAAGCTAGGACAGAAGGGTAGAGTTCAAGAGAGCAGAATGCATTTAGGAACGTGGAATATAGGAACCTTAACGGGAAAATCTATAGAAGTAGTGGAAGTTATGGTGAGGAGAAGGATAAATATTATGTGCCTACACGAAATTAAGTGGGTTGGTCTTAAGGCAAAGGATCTAGAAAACTCAGGGTTTAAACTTTGGTATTCGGGCACAAATAGAACGAGAAACGGTGTTGGCATCATCGTGGACAAAACCTTGACACAAGATGTTGTAGATGTCAAGAGGGTAGGAGATAGAATCATGGCAATCAAGATTGTAATAGGACAAGAACTCATTAATGTGATTAGTGCGTACGCACCTCAAGTAGGGTTGGATACGAGTTCGAAGGAGAAATTTTGGGAAGACCTTGGAGACTTGGTGCAAGGAATTGCCCAGACGGAGAAGTTATTTATAGGAGGAGATTTAAATGGACACGTGGGCAATGAGACAGGCAACCATGGAGGTTTTCATGGTGGCCATGGTTTTGGGGAGAGAAACGAGGATGAGGAAGCTATCTTGGATTTTGCGATGGCATATGATCTCTTCTTAGTCAACACCTTTAAAAAGAGAGAAGAACATGTGATCACCTACAAGAGTGGGTCGTCAAAAACACAAATAGATTTTCTTCTAATGAGGAAAGGGGATCGTATAACTTGTAAGGATTGCAAAGTTATACCGGGAGAGAGTTTGGCTAATCAACATCGCTTGTTGGTGATGGATGTACATATCAAAAGAGTGAGAAAAAAGAACAAGACTTGGAAGTGCCCAAGGACTAGATGGTGGAATCTAAAAGGAAAAAAACAAGCCATTTTCAAAGAGAAAGTAATCACCCAGTGTGGGTGGGATAGAGAGGGGGAAGCTAGCCAAAGGTGGGATTCCATGGCTAGTTGTATCCGAAAAGTAGCAAAAGAGGTATTCGGAGAGTCCAAAGGCTTTGCTCCACACCAAAAGGAATCTTGGTGGTGGAATGAGGAGGTACAAACAAAGGTGAAGGCTAAGAAGGAATGTTGTAAAGCCCTATACAAGGACAGGACCGATGAAAATGGTGAAAGGTATAGAAGAGCGAAGCAAGAGGCGAAGAAAGCTGTGAGAGAAGCTAAGTTAGCGGCTTATGACGATATGTATAAGCGACTAGATACCAAAGAAGGAGAGTTGGATATCTATAAACTAGCTAGAGCAAGGGAAAAGAAGACAAGGGACCTAAACCAAGTGAGGTGCATCAAGGATGAGGATGGAAAGGTTCTTACTACAGAGAACGCGGTCAAAGACAGATGGAGAGGTTATTTTCATAATCTTTTCAATGAAGGACATGAAAAGAGTACTTCTTTAGGGGAGTTGAGTAACTTAGAAGAGTGTAGAAACTACTCCTTTTATCGTCGAATCAGGAAGGAAGAAGTGGTTGTAGCTTTGAAGAAGATGAAGCATAGAAAAGCAGTGGGCCCAGACGATATACCGATCGAAGTGTGGAAAGTCTTGGGAGAGACAGGTATAGCATGGCTTACTGACCTTTTCAATAGGATTTTGAAAACGAAGAAGATGCCAAATGAGTGGCGAAAGAGCACTTTGGTGCCTATCTACAAGAATAAGGGCGACGTACAAAATTGCATGAACTATAGGGGTATTAAGCTAATGAGTCATACAATGAAGTTCTGTGAGAGAGTCATTGAGCATAGATTGAGGCAAGAGACACGGGTTTCGGACAACCAATTCGGGTTCATGCCAGGGCGCTCAACCATGGAGGCAATCTATCTCTTACGAAGATTGATGGAAAGATATAAAGATGAGAAAAATGATTTACACATGGTCTTTATAAATTTGGAAAAAGCATATGATAGGGTCCCAAGAGACATTCTTTAGAGAATTTTAGAGAAGAAAGGAGTACGAGTAGCATATATCCAAGCTATAAAGGATATGTATGAAGGAGCAAAGACTGCCGTAAGAACTTATGAAGGACAAACCGAAAGCTTCCCCATAACTGTAGGATTACATCAAGGCTCATCCTTAAGTCCTTACCTTTTTGCGTTGGTAATGGATGAGTTAATAGGACATATTCAAGATGATATTCCTTGGTGTATGCTTTTCGCAGACGATATAGTGTTGATAGATAAAACTCAGGAAGGGGTAAATGCGAAGCTTAACCTTTGGAGAGAAGTGTTGGAATCTAAAGGTCTTCGCCTAAACCGATCAAAGACAGAATATATGGAGTGCAAGTTCAGTGCAAATGAAGGCCAAAATGAGTTAGGGGTGAAGATCGGAGATCAGGAAATACCAAAGAGCGATCGTTTTCGCTACTTAGGATCTATCTTGCAAAAGAACGGAGAATTAGATGGAGATCTCAACCATAGAATACAAGCTGGATGGATGAAGTGGAAGAGTGCATGCGGCGTGTTGTGTGATCGTCGTATGCCACTAAAGCTCAAGGGAAAATTTTATAGGACGGCAATAAGGCCGGCGATGCTGTATGGCACAGAATGTTGGGCGGTGAAGCATCAACACGTACACAAAATGAGTGTAGCGGAGATGAGGATGCTTCGTTGGATGTGTGGGCACACGAGAAATAATAAGATTAGGAATGAGGATATCCGAGGTAAAGTAGGAGTAGCCGAAATTGTAGGAAAGTTGAGAGAAAATCGGTTACGGTGGTTGGGACATGTGCAAAGAAGGCCTACTGACGCTCTGGTTAGAAGATGCGACTACGAGACAGAGGTTCAGGGCCGAAGCGGTAGAGGAAGACCTAAGAAAACTTTGGAAGAGACTCTAAGAAAAGACTTAGAGTATTTGGATCTAACGGAGGACATGACACAGGACCGAGCACAATGGCGTTCTAAGATTCATATAGCCGACCCCACTCAGTGAAGAAGGCTTTGGTGTATTTAACACAATACGTTGGAAATGAAGCAAAGCTTATTTATTGATATCTCCGATAAGTTACAAATATGTACATATACATGAGTCAAAACAAACAAACAAGAGGGAGCCTTCACAAAGGTTGCTTAGAAGAGGTCTCAGCAGTCGGTAGAGCCCCAGAAAGAGAAGGCATCGGAGGGGGAGCATTCGGAGTCTCAGTACTGGACAAAACCCTAGAAGGAGAAGGCATCGGAGGTTGATCATTTCGAGCTTCATTATGCGGTACAGCCCCAGAAGACGAAGGCAATAAATGCCTTTGGAACAAACCCACAAACCGCTGATGATCAAGTAAAACCTGATTATCAGATTCCTTCATCTGGTCAAGCTTCCTCTTCATGTTTGTAGCATAGTTATGTGCGAGCCGGTGCAACTGTTTATTCTCATGCTTGAGCCCTCTAATCTTCTGTTTGAGACTCATCACTTCAGCCGCCAATGATTCAACTTGGCGGGTTCGAGCAAATAGGCGTTGGGCCATATTAGACACAGAACCTGCACACTGAATACTCAAAGCCAGAGAATCCTTAACAGCCAATTCATCAGATCATTTGGAAAGTAGTCTGTTATCTTTGGGAGTGAGAAGGTTCCTGGCCACCATCGCAGCGATCATATCATTATTCATCACGGAATCCCCAACGGTAAGAGGACCAGTATGGGATAAGAAGGATGGGCGCCATATGTTGTCTGGAGAAGGCGTGGCTGCCTCTTTACCAAGGTTCAAGTCAAAATGACGGTCGGAGGGGCCAGACATTTTCAAAGGTGTTGAAGAGAGAAGAGGTCGGACAAATCAAGATCTTAGAAGTGTAAGAATGGAGCTTCTACTGGTGAAGATTCAAGTGTGCTTTGAACTTAATGCCAGCCTCTATAAAAATCTGCACTCGACGGAGCTTCAGAAATCGAAGAGGCGTCTGCTTAGAAATCGAAGAGGCGTCTGCTTTCTCAAAAGCTGGGCTGCTCAGAGACCACGAGGGCCGATCTCAGAAATCGAAGAGGCGTTTGCTTTCTCAAAAGCTGAGCTGCTCAAAAATCACGAAGACTGATCTCAGAAATCGAAGAGGCTTACTTTCTCAAAAGCTGGGTTGCTCAGAGACCATAAGGGCCGATCTCAGAAATCGAAGAGGCACCCGTTTTTTTCAACCTTGTCAGCACCTGTCACATGCACACTCAGCTTTGCTGAAATTACGGGCATTCTGTTGAAGATTTCTGGTGAAGTAGAAAGCACGTGAATCTTACTGTTCAATCATCCACTTTTCACACGCACCATCAGCTCAGGGGTACCACAGATAACTTTGCCAAAGATCTCTGACAAAGTTTAGACATGTGAAGCTTACAGCTCCCACTACATCGCTATGACCAAGAAGGGTAAAAGAATAGCAAAGAAACAGCACTAACAAAGTTTAGACACATAAATTTTGAAGGTCTAGCTATCATATTATTACCCACAAGCGTAAAGGAACAGCACCACTGCTGGATAATTGGAAAGTCCCTGTGTGTCAACCTCAGTGCTCCGTGGTAAGGTAGACTAGCAAACATGCCCTACCTTTACTCACATTCGAGAAAACACTCCCAACAAGTTTGCTTGCTCCAAAATCGAAGAGGCACCGTTCTCCGAATCTCGAGAGCCAGACTCCCAACATGATTAATTTCTCAAAAATCGAAGATACATCGCTATCCGAATCTCGGAGCCAGACTCTAGCAGGATTGCTCTCTCAAAAAATCGAAGAGGCATCGTTCTCTGAATCTCGAGAGCCAGATCCTCGACAGGATTGCTTGTTCGAAAATCGAAGAGGCACCGCTTTCTCAACTTCGAGAGCCAGATCTCCTTGGATAAAGCTTGTCTGTAATCTTCACACACAACATCAGCTTTCCAGATACCACATACCACTTTTTCAAAGTGCTCTGACACACGTGAAGCTAGCAGTTCCCACTACCGTGCTATGACCAAGCAGGGTAAAGGAATAGCATTACTACTTGTTGTTAGGGAGACTCCTATATATGTCGACCTCCATCCTCAACGAACAGGCAGACCTGCAAAAATGCTCAACCCTTCCTCATATCTGAGAGGGCACTCCCAACAAAGCCTCTCGAAATACTCAACTTTCTTTCCCCTCGATAATACCTCTGCAAACAAGTTACACCAGAGCAAGAATATCTCATATCATCAGGGTTAAAAGCAAGAGTATTCCATATCATGTTTTTTCCCTGTCTTTTCCTTTGGCCTTGTTCTTACCTGCAAGACAAGGAGAAAGAAAGCAATCAGTCAGCACTTGGAATCAAGCTTCCAGTCAGGAACTGACTACCTGGAACCCCTTACCTGATTACTTATCTGGCATTGCTCTCGAGTACTCATCTTCAACATCTTATGCTTCCAGAGAAGATACCACATCTGCCTGAGGAACCGATAGGGAAAGTGAGAAGGATACAAGGAAGCATGTGGAGACAAGCGTAACAGAACGCGTGCCGATACATCCACTACATGTCAACAGCAAAAGTATCCCATATCAGCAGGGTCGAACGTACTCTAGATTTGATAGACTTGTTTTGACCCTCAAATTCTTCAGTCGGCCTTATACTCTGGAGGAAACCAGAAAACCCTCCAGCCTAGTTCAAGAATAAGCATGTGGAAAGTTATTTATTCAAAAGCAAAAGTATCTCATATCATCTATTCTCCCTTTCTTCTCTTTATCCTTCATGCTGCCTGCAAGATAGGGAAAATGAGAACAATCAGCCGGAACTCGAAATCAAACTTCTGATCTGGGACTGATTGCTTGGAGCTTTGATTGCTTACCTTGTCTGTCACCTCTTTCAGCAGATCCCCTAGCTCGGCGACTTGGGGGACTCCTACTACATGGTTTGTATCGCGTTTGACCAAGCCTGAAATTACAAGTAAGCTTCAAGTGAAATTGATACATTACCTTGTGCATCTCCACCAGTTAAAGATGCCACCCCTGGATGGAGGAAGAGTACTTCCAGAGAAGATACCACATCTACCTATGAGACAAATAAGGCAAGTGAAGACGATACCACACTTCGGTACTTAGAAGTTTCGTGATTACGAGATCATTCTTCCACAATATTTCCTAATGTCATTTGTACTAAATCATTCATTTGTACTCACTAAATGAGAGCTTGAACCTATGTACTTGTGTAAATCCTTCACAATTAATGAGAACTCATCTACTCCGTGGACGTAGCCAATCTGGGTGAACCACGTACATCTTATGTTTGCTTTCCTGTCTCTATCCTTTTACATACTTATCCACACTAATGATCAGAGCAATAACTTAATACTTTCTGTTATACCAAAGTCCTCACTGATTTTGTGCATCAACAATCCTTAAGTCCTTACCCTTTTGCGTTGGTAATGGATGAGTTAACAAGACATATTCAAGATGATATTCCTTGGTGTATGCTTCTCGCAAATGATATAGTGTTGATAGATGAAACTCAGGAGGGGTAAATGCGAAGCTTAACCTTTGGAGAGAAGTGTTGGAATCTAAAGGTCTTCGCCTAAGCCGATTAAAGACAGAATATATGGAGTGCAAGCTCAGTGCAAATGGAGGCCAAAATGAGTTAAGGACGAGGATCGGAGATCAGGTAATACCAAAGAGCGACCGTTTTCGCTACCTATGATCTATCTTGCAAAAAAACGGAGAATTAGATGGAGATCTCAACCATAGAATACAAGCTGGATGGATGAAGTGGAAGAATGCATCCGGCGTGTTGTGTGACCGTCGTAGGCCACTGAAGCTCAAGGGAAAATTTTATAGGACGGCAATAAGACCGGCGATGATGTATGGTACAAAATGTTGGGCGGTGAAGCATCAACACGTACACAAAATGGGTTTGGACATGTGCAAAACCGAGCGCAATGGCGTTCTAGGATTCATATAGCCGACCCCACTTAGTGGGAAAATGCTTTTATAATGCAGAAAGCGGGTTAAGCACAAGCATTCCTATCCGCTGATGGATTTTGAAAGTAGTGAGAATGGTAGTCCACTGAACCATAGCTCACAAGTAGAACCTAATGAAAATGTTACATGGGAAGAGATGGATTTAGCTGGTAAGAAAATGCTGTTAAAAAGGTCTTTTAGTATCTACTGTGAATCATGACAAATCTTTGCGTGTATGCATACATAGATATATATATTTTCCCTTTCCATCCCCTTATTATTCATTCCTAGGGGCATGATAACTGTGACCATTACAGGTTCATTAGCTGAGGAAGTGAACAATGGAAGTTTTGATGAACTGCTGTCTCTAAATACTGAATGTCTAGAAGGTGATGATGCGGTCACTCATGTACAGAAGTGTTTGAGGATGAAACCAATTGAACCAGTGAATGTCAGTTTTATCAACTGTAGATGACTCGTGTGGACAATTGGTATTAGCAAAAAAGTAATGATATAGAGATTAAATTTGTACACAAAATTTGCAAACTAAATTATATATCACCAATAAAAAATGAGCACGTTTATTAACTTTTAAGTAGTAATTCAATCATTAATTTTCATGTCATTTAGTTTACTAAAATTTGTCTATAAATTTAATCTCCCTAGCATTACTTTGAGCAAAATAGTTGTGTACATAGAATATATTTTTGGTTTAATTCGTATTTACACAATGAATACAATACATATAGGGATACAACCATGTAAAGTTATCAGTATAAATGTAGTAATTCCTTGGGCTTTATAAGGTAATTAAGCCCCTTTCTAAGTACCCTCCAAATCCAATATATCAAAACCATACACACATCCACAAATAGTTGATTTTGTTTACAAAAGTTCTCTTGCAATAAAAACGTAACACAATCTGTATACCAGAAATGATTCTAATTGGGACGGTGCCATGACGGCGGCACGTCTTTCCGACGCGTAAGGCGCGTGCAAACTCGTGGCCTACCCTAAGATCTTTTGGTGTTCTGAATCACGTGACACTCTTTGTTTATGCAAATTCGAAGCCTAAATGGCAGTTTTGGATACTTTTTCATAGAATTACTAGAAAAGCTTAGTTAAGCTACATGTCTCATCCAGAGGTTTATTAGAGATCATAAAGGAGTCAGACAAGGAGCCTGACGAGGAAGGACGATATAATTACCTGTGAGTGGATTCCTTTGAAAACTAGGGTTTACTTTAAATGACCAACAATATTATTAGTTTAAATGGTATCTTGATACGGTTGGTGATTAATTTTCACCACATGGTCATCATACATATCGTATAGTTATATATTGCCGTAGATTTATTGCAGGTATTGATATTTCTAGTAGATGTTAGATTTGCTAGCAGACACTAGTCATCGATCAAGTAGATGTCATTTCACTTGCTATACAACTTGATTGTTATTGCGTGTTTGATTGAATTACTTTCTTTGATATGACGAGCATTGTGATGTGAACTTTATTACTATTATGGTAGTATTATTATTTGTGTAGTTTTCGACTCTATATGTGATTTCAAAACGGGAGTTAATATGCTCAAATGATTCTAACTAGATAAACTTGGTTCATTCTCACTTGGTTTGTCGACCCCTCAGGATATAGCGAGAACAAGGAAATCCCTGGGAGTGACAAGTGGGCTTGGCAGTGAGGTTCACTTACAAACTTGGTTATGGTTCCTCTACTACAATATTATCTAATTTGTAATATTCGCGTAATCATACTTTTAATCAAGAAAAAAAAAATCAATAATATCGGCGAAATATCACCGATATTATCGTTTTTTTTAAATTCCGAAATTTTTTTAACTATCCAACCTATTTTCATCAAAATATCACGATATTAACAATAATATCACGATATTTTTAAAATTATCAACAATATCGACAATATTTTATTAAAAAAATTCTTAAATATGTTGAGAAAACTCAACACATAATTAACTTGATCATGACCCAAAGGCCAAACAAGTTTTGGTTATCTCACCTGGGGAGTGTGAGTTTTATAGGAAAAATTCATTGCTCACTTCCTTGCATGGGCGATGTGGGACTCGCCAATGGGGAAAAAATCAAAATTTCGGCCGAAATTTTACACCCACTTTAAACGGCCATAACTTTGTCAAAACTCAACGAAATCAAGCAAGACAAAAACGAAAGTTGTAGCCCTCGAAGAGACGAATAGAATGGTACCTCACAAGATGTCTGAATCGTAGTGGTTTGGCCGGAAAATGCCTCGAAAGTCACTGAGGTCGCTGAGGTCGTCGGAAACTGGGTAAGATTCAAATGAGTATAACTTTTTCAATACGCAACGAAATTGAGTGAAACAAAAAGGAAAGTTGTAGCCCTCGAAGAGACGAAGAGAACGGTACCTCACACGATGTCTGAATCGTAGTGGTTTGGCCGGAAAATGCCTCGAAAGTCACTGAGGTCGCTGAGGTCGTCGGAAACTGGGTAAGATTCAAATGAGTATAACGTTTTCAATACGCAACGAAATTGAGTGAAACAAAAAGGAAAGTTGTAGCCCTCGAAGAGAATAAGAGAATGGTACCTCACACGATGTCTGAATCGTAGTGGTTTGGCCGGAAAATGCCTCGAAAGTCACTGAGGTCGCTGAGGTCGTCGGAAACTGGGTAAGATTTCAAATGAGTATAACTTTTTCAATACGCAACGAAATTGAGTGAAACAAAAAGGAAAGTTGTAGCCCTCGAAGAGGCGAAGAGAATGGTACCTCACACGACGTCTGACTCGTTGTGGTTTGGCCGGAAATTGCCTCGAAATCTACTGAGGTCGCCGGAAACTGGGTAAGATTCAAATGAGTATAACTTTTTCAATACGCAACGAAATTGAGTGAAACAAAAAGGAAAGTTGTAGCCCTCGAAGAGACGAAGAGATTGATACCTTGCACGTCAGCCAAAATTCAATTGACACACTCCTAGCTTCCAAAATTCAATACTTTTACTTTATATCAAGTTGAAAAAAACATAATCGGCATCCAAATTAAAGTTTAATCTTATTCAATGTATTGATTTTCAATCGTTAATTGATATACTATAATTTGGAACTTCAACGCCTAGACGCATGCTTATGTGTAAGAAATTTTAAAATTGTCAAATTCGGCACATTATTCTTCATCATTTTATTCACTTCCCTTTTTTTTTTTTAATATCCTAAATAAAACCTCCAAATATTGTACTAATTAATTATATATAAATGATTATGGTGTGTTTAAACTTCTTTCATTAATTACTACATATTTTCTACACTCACAATGTTTGCCAGCTCGCTATATAATCAACTTAAATCAGTTAAATCCATCATGCAATGCATTTCCTTCCAATTTTTTGTGATAAACTAATAGATAATTGACTAAATAAACATCCTACAAAGTTTCATTAAAAATTTCCAAGTTTTTCTTACAATTTCCGTGGTTTCCATGTAATTTTTATCGATATCGATATTATCCCGATATTTCCATCGATATTTCCGTGTTTTCGGACTACCGATATTTCCGATATTACCGATATTTTCTTCCTTGCTTTTAATTATGCACTACACTACACTACACTTTATTGTGTTAACTGTTATGCAAACTACTTTCTACTCTAAATTGATGTGATGTGATAATAATGGGATTGTATCCCTAAACATGTGTTCCCAAGTGGGGAGGTTGATTAGGATCGCTTTGTAGTTTACTTTTGAAATAAATAAAGAACATTTTAGTTCAAATTCATTCGCATCATTATTACCTTGCGTTATTAGGTTGGCATTGTGACGATATCTTACGATTGAGTTATATCTTATGTATCAACCCAACAGCCCAATGAACAATGTTTTTTGGGATCACAAGCTTCACCAAAAAGAAGTGGACAGAAATGCCCCCCAAACAAAAAACTTCAAAAGCAGTCCAAAATAATGCATCAAATGTGGCAGGAGTATTTTCGTCATTTTAATAATTAATTGTTTTTGTACTGTTATTTATTTATTTATAATTAGTACCTTATAATAGGCTAGCAATAATGTGGTTCAATAAGTTGTTCATTAAATATTATTTTTTTCTATTTTTAAACATGTTCAAAACATCTTAAGAGGGGTATAATGCTGGTTATAAAAAAAGTCTTTCGCACGCACATAATAATGTGATTAAATTAGTTGTCAAATGATTGTTTTTATATATTTTAAACAAATGATATTATCTACACTAAGGGAGAGGGGTGGGCTTAGTCTCACAATAAGCTAGTAATAATGTGATTCAATCAGTTGTTTATTAAATATTATTTTCTCTATTTTTAATGTAAATTCAATAAAGACCAAATTTATTAAGTGAATTCAATTGCTTTAATTGATTTATGAGAGATTTCTTCTAGCATGATTTAAAATTATTCATTTACTTCAAATATTTAACTTTTCTTCTGTCAATTTAAGCATATAAATATATTTAAAATGTCTAAATCGCACGTAATATGCCGTGATTCAAAAAACATTTTCTGGACGCGCTAAAGCTAGTTATCAATTTAATGTCGGCGAGCATATAACAACCTCGTAACCTTTGATTATCAAGGTCAGGTATTAATGCACATTTATATGGGCATTTTGGTATTTTGGTTAAATAAATCATTGTCATTCAGGTCAGGTAAGCAGTCAAAGTCAGATTTAATCGTTAAACTTGTATCATGTTGTCCAGTTCTAAGATATAAGTACCCATTCGCATCCAAATCATGCTGTAACCAATATGCTTTCAAATCTTCGACCACCTTCATTTTGGAGGCGGATGGACGACTGCCCTGGCAGCCTCAGACCACACAACCCAGATCGAAGGCTGCCGCGGTCGCCATCCTTAGACCGGGCCCCTTGAAGAGGTCATTTACTTCGTTCTAACCAGAAAAAAACATAAAAGATAAAAAATAAAAACATGGATTACCGATTACACTTACCAAAAAATCTCAGCTAAAAATTTCCTATTAAACATAATTAATTCACTTATCAAAGCAAACAGTGATTACATTATCGACAGTTCAATAATCAAGAAACTCTACCCTTCAAGTATTCAAGCAGGTTCAAACTCCAGCTAAACAAGGAAAATAAACTAACACAAAGGTCTTTCAACAATATAAATAAACAAAAAAACCAATGCAACTATATCTGTTAAAAAAAAAAAAAAAAAAAAAAAAAAAAAAAAAACCTTTTGAAAATCCGACCGACGGAACTGCTGCTGCTGCACAACAGTTCATTGTACTCCTTTTTTTTCCATTTTCTTTATATAGTAGTTTATGAGGAGGCTCGTCTTCATTTCTCACGAGCTTTTCGATAAAAAAACCAAACCACAAGAAAACCTGAAAACAGCAAAAGAGAAGGTATCACACACAACGCCAATTCACAGGACAAAGATGTTAAAAGTTATTTCAATTGAGACCCTTTCCTACCGAAAATGTAAACAAGCAATGCCACCCGTCAAGCCGCAAATGTTGATCGTAGGTTGAGTACAGCATGAGCAGGTGTTTGTCATACATAACTGCTAGAACAGGGGGAACAGAGAAACAGAAGA